TATTACTGTTCTTGGTAATAATGCCGTGTGGAAGACAAATTACATAATTTCTATATATTATATCTACAAGCAAACTAATTCTGATGCTCTGGTGCCCTAGTAAGTAAGGCGTTAATGCTGCTAACCCAAGAGCAGTCAGTTTGAATCCACTAGCTGCTTCACAGGAGAAAGATGGGCAGACTTCTCTCATTCTCATTTAATTTAGAGCCTCTGAAAACCCAATTCATAGGGTCAGCTATGAATTGATCAACTATTGGTCTGGTCAGCTATTCATAGGGTCCATTCTGACACAGTAGCAATGAATTTAATTGTGGGAAACATCATTTTAGTAATTTATCAGTATTTCTACCACCAGTGGAATTCTAAAAAGGAATTCTGAAAATACTAACTACAGACATTATTAGAAATAAAAACACAAAAAACTACTCAGCTCTGTTGTTCTGAAATCATCAGAACTTAAAGTTATATTCAAAGCAAGCCAATAAATTCCCAATAAATTACATTTTCAAGGGGAAAGAAACAAAACAGAAGAGTGGGTGAAAAGAACTACTTCTTTTAATGTGCAAATCACTGATCATCAAATAGTCCTAAGGATTGTAAAATGAGCATTGGGGGGTGATCTATGGTAGATGGGTTGCAGCAGTTTTCTTTAATGAGCCTGTGCAAACTGTACATTAATTTCATTGTAAGCTATTTAAGGAACAATGTGAAACTAAAAACAAAGCCTTCCCGTTCCACTAATGAAAACAAAGAGCTGTTGGAATTAACATAAAGCAGTACTTCAGCAATTTCGACTATCATGGTTGATCAATGTTGCTTGATTACAGAGTTGCAATGGCCTCATTTTCAGCTGATGTTCTTCTGTATTCAAGATCATGCCAAAAAAAGAAAAGATTTGCTTGGCTTAAAAGGAAAGGAATTAATAACAAAATCTTTTAAGTGGCATCCAGAGCTTTAGTGCTAATAACATTTTCCAGTTCTTTACTTTTGTAGCAGCACTTCCTGCCATGTATCCAATAACCACGAAAGGCTCTAAAGAGCCACAAGAGCTCTAAAGGAGCACGTGCTCCTATTTGTGGCTGCCTCCTCCACCTTAAGAACATCTCTCCTTTCAGGCAACCTCTGTTCACCCTGTGGTGTTCCTCAGAGATGTTTGGAGAATGGGGGGGGGGGGGGGGAGGGGAAGCCAAATCCCAAATCTGACCCTATTCCCTGGTATTCTCTGTTCTGTTAAGTTATGGATGTCTTTCGTGTGTGTGTGTGTGTGTGTGTGTGCGTGCGCACGCACACAGGTTAAAGCAAGACACTTTTCTGAAAACCAAAATGAACAGTTGGAGGGAGCTCTTGTGACCAGTGGCAAGAAGCTGCACTGCAATCCCAGTGGTACACAGTTTGAATCCACCAGATGCTCTGCTAGAGAAGGAGGGACAGTCTCCTCTTGTACCAGTCAGACCCGATTTGATGGTACACACACAGTAAAATAAAATAAATTAAATTAAAAAAAATAAGTTGGGAAAGTTGGGTGTTCATTGATTTTCAAGAGTTCAGAGAAACAAGGGTCTGTCATTTTATGTAAAGAATGGTTAATAACTATAATCTTTGACATCTTCTCTGGTGTCCTAGAGGCTAAAGAGTTGTGCTACAAAGATGAGCACAGGCAGTTCAAATCCATCAGCTGCTCCTCAGAACACCCATGTAATTTATAGCCTCTGAAAACATACTGGAGGGTCAACTATGAGTCATTTCCCACTCAAAGGCGATTGATTGCTTTCTTTGTTTAGCTTCAAATTGGAAATTGATGGTGAGGCTTGATCATCCTTGTAGAACTTGTAAGTGTTCTCGGGAACGAGTCTGATCTAATTCTGCTTCCTACTTGGCGCTGACTGTCCGACGTGCACTATTCAACCTTAAGTTTTGTTTTTCTAGGAATCCACCCCCAAAATTAAGGAAGCCTGAGCTGTGGTCAGCTGAGTTCAATGACTTCATTAGCAAGTGAGTAATAATGAAGTCTTTTATTTCTTTTTTAAAAATTTATT